TGCACTTTTCCCTTCACACATCGGGAGCTGCTCTCGCCTGGGGTTCTAATTTCGCTTCCTGAACGACGGCTGCTCCGCCATGCCACAGCGAAACCACGCGCGCCGCACCACTCAGTCTATAACGCAAAGATACAGGCCGGGCCACTGATTACGGCAGCACATAATGTAAACACCGACGAGCGCAAATTCATGTGGTCAACTATACAACGTTCACCGCAGACTGGCACTTATCACTAGACAGCATCCGAGAGTCATTGTAAGCCCCGCCCCCACGTCCGCCGCCGGCCAATCCGCCTCGAGCTCCACCGGGAGGCGGGGCGTACCGGTTCCCGCCAGCCAATGGGAGCGGCGCTAACTTAACGCGTTAGGTACGACACAGAGTTACTAAAGAAAGGCCCCTGAGTATAATGTTTGTACCATTAAAGTGTTGGCTAAATGAATAGTTTAACACGCTCTTTCCCTGTCAGGTATTACCACGCTCTTTAAATTGACCTGACTCTTACCACGTGAAGGCTCCTCGCTCGCTCTTGATCCAGAGGGAGAGAGAGAGAGGTAGAAGGAGAGAGACGAAGATAGAGAGAGAGAGAAACAGAGATAGAAAGAGAGAAACAAAGATAGAAAGAGATAAATAAATAAATAGAAATATTGAAACATATAGAAAAAAAAGAAATGGAGAACCACAGACCGAAAGAAAGAGAGAAAGAGAGAGAGAGGAAGAGATAAATAGATAAAGAGAGAGAGTTGGAACGGCAGACGCCCATCTCCAAAGGACCTCTCTCCTCCCTGTTTGTCAAGTGAGTCGGATATTTTCCCATGGGCGCGCAGACCTTAATCATATCTATTTTAAAATGTTGCCTGGCGATTAACACGCTCGGCTGGGGCGGCTGATGGCTGGATGCGACACACGGGTATTTTTTCTTTGTCTTTACTTACTCTTTGTCTTTTTCTCTTTTCTTTTTGTTTTTGGTTTATCATGGTATTGCTGTTCTTGTTCTTTTCCTTCTTTCGTTCGTTCTCGATTTATTTATTTTTATCTTTATTTCTTAATGTTTGGTTCACTTTACTTTTTCACACGAAATAAATACGATAAAAGAAAAAAAATATCAAGAAGACGAAAGAGAGAATAAGAAAAGAAACAAAACAAAAGAAAAAAGAAACACGAACAACAAACGCAAAAAAAAATCATAAAGAATTAAACCGAAATAATCTAAAAAATTGCCGACATGGAAACTCTCCACCTCATTACCTTCGTTAATCTAATTGCAAATAATAACACATCACAACGACCATCTTACTTAACATTCTATCTAAATCGTTGCCATTATCAAGAGCAATGATTTACACAAATTTGAGGAGAATTTCGCATTGCACTCAAGCTGATCGCCGATTTAATGGCGGGATTTGATCTCATGCGAATTTTGTATTCAATTATACATGTGT